CTGTCACAGTGTGGCCACCAGCATGGTCTTTACCCATCCCAGGTGGAAGGCCCTGTGCATGTGAGAAGACCTCCCCGTGCCTGAGCACAAACCTGCTCCCATGTAGGGCTCCACCATTCTGTACCCTGGTCAGGAAATCCTCCCACACCCTATGAGCAGGAGCTTTCCCAGAACATCTCCTGGGCACAGAGGATGCCAGCAGAGGAAAAGAAGGCCGTCATGCTGAGGAAGAGCTCAGGCTATGGGCGCTGCTCCATGCACACACCATAACTTCCCCCATAGGGGACAGTAGTAACAGATGGCAAGCAAAAAGCAGAACTATACCTGGCCAGGTCTTGGAAGCCCCTGAATCTTCCACTCCACAGTCAGTGTCCAAACTGGAGGTTTGTGTGGGGACCCTGCAGGGTGGCTCTCGGGTGGACCAGAAGCACATTTCTGTTCTAACCACTGCTGCAAACATTCGTGATGACACATTTTGTGTGTGTCCAAACTGGCACATCCACAGCTCTGCTCCCAAGAAGGGTCTCCTGCCAGTGAGACCTGCTCTGTTCTGAGACTTTAGGCCTGGACCAGCTGGTATAGCACCCACCTCTCTTGTCCAACACTCTTCTGAGCTCCATCACATGGACAGTAAAAGCCTACAACCAGCCCTGTTTATCATTTGATGTGTTGGCTTCTGGGGCATGGGGGCTTAGACAGTCCCTGCAGAAATCCTGTCTGAGGCAGTTTGAGGTGGGACTTGGAGTATGGATCTCAACTCATGCCAGCTGCAGGGACTGATTCAGAATGAGAAGAGGAAATAGTGGCTTCTCAGCCTAGCAGGGAGGACATACTTCCAACTGTCATGCTGCCCTTCCATTCCTGAGATATTCACAAAGACACCAAAACACAGGTGTGCTCAAAGGTTCCAGAGAGATGATTACCCAATCGGGGATGATGAGGAAGCTGAAGAGCAGGTGTAAGATGGGGAGCCCCACACTCCAGACCCTCTCTGACCTCTTGCACAGGCACAGGCTCTTCAGGCTCCTACAGCCCACATGTTCCCCTGGGGAGCCCCGCTGCTATCAGTCACCAGCTGTGTGTCCTCATGCCAGTCTCTTAACCTCTCTGTGTCACATTTTCCCCACCTCCAAGATGCTGGTAGTAAGAGATGTAAGTGTGCCTGCTAGAGAGCGGATTTTCAATAAATACAGCCCTTACCTAGGACTCAGACAAATGCCTCTGCAGTTAGTCCCACATCTCACATCCCTTCTCAAGGCACAGAAATAGTATCAGCTGTACATATATGAATGACAGAAGTAATGCACACTGACCAGGCTCAGTGTGAGGGAACAGTGACAGCTGTACTTGCTGCATGCTGACCGTATTCCACAGACCTTCCATGTACCATTGTCACCACTGTCCTAGCGGCCAGCCACTACTGTCAACTTCATGTCACTGACATGGAATCCAAGGCACAGGAGGGGAAACTCCCTTGCCTAGTAACACAGCTACAGCCACAGAGCTGAGATTTGCTCCTCCATGTCCTGGCTTTGGAGCTCATAGGCATCACCAGTGTGTTACCCTTGGTCCCCAGAGAAAAGCAGAGCCGCCTTGCCTGTCTCTCAGCACTGCCCACATTTCCCGTTCTTGACAGCCATTTCCCAGCATGCACACATATGTGCACACACATATAAAACTTTGTATGCCTGCACATATTCCATCAGCTCAGCACGCACACACATGACAGTGCTTCAGTGTAAGCATGTGTGCCTGTAAGGTGAGCAGTGGCACTGACATACTGCTACCACAGGGCCCCAAAATTCTGAGGCCCCAGTGACCACTTGTCACTTGCTCTAGGTCTTGTACTTGGACCAATACAAGGTACTTCCACAGGGAGTAAAGCACAGACTGTGCTCCCCTGCATGACACCTTGCTTCCTTCTTCCGTGTGTCAGTGAAAAGTAGTGGGTCCCAGATGACACGCAGCTGGATCACAGGGTCCACAATAGCTGCCTGTGTTGATCACAACCCCGATGGTGACCATGGCAACCACATACCTCTAAGACAAGCTGCAGGTCCTCTGCCCCCGTGGATCTTAAAAGGCAAATCACCATAGGTTATATCAGCTTCTTTTCCCTTCCCTGCTTGGGGACAAATGTGCACACACACACTCACATGCTCACCCACTCACACCCCACGCTCGCCCATTCACTTGCAAAGCTCGAGATGATCACGAGGTCTCACACCGAGCCGTGCACATTCACAGGATCACTCATCTACCCACGCACACATCTACTCTCACATACTCACCACAGCAGACCCCCGCCCGGACAGAGAAGAAATGGACCAGAAGCACAGCCAGTGACCGCAGCGGCAGAGACAGAGATCACGGCGAGCCTGAGCTTGCCAAATGAGATGAACAAGCAACAGCTCTAGGCAGCAGCACCTTGAAAATAAGGATGTCACCAAGATGCCCAACTTCCCCAGACCCGGACTAAAAGTTTCCCACTCCTCCCTGCCATACTCCTCCCCTATACAAACACCCCGATAAAACCTTCCCCTTGCCGGTTGCTCTGGGCCAATGGTCTTACCGCCCTTGGCCCGCCTGCACCCAGGCTATAATAAACTTTGCTTATTGCTTCAAAGACGTCTGATTTGGTGGTCTCGGTCGCGCCTCAGTTCATCTTAACAACCACCTGAGGGCGGGCTGAATCCTCAACAGCAGGATGCGTGGTGCAAACAGAGGAAGCTGCAGTAGTCCAGGCCCCGGGGGCCCGCAGTACAGAAGTTTGCGCCTTCAGAATTTGGTGCTTTTCCCAGGCACCCCCGCGGCTGTAGAGACCGCCCTGCCACGCATGCGCGACAGAACCCACCGGCACCGCCCATGGGGTGTGTCGCTGCCCCGGAAGTCACTTCAGAGTGCTCGCAATTTCCGGTCATAGAATACCTCCCACACTGAGGTAAGAAAGGGGGATTAGGAGTACTGTGGACTCCAGTCCACCCACGTCACAGGAGATGAAGTTAGGGCTGTCCTGTCGCCAGTCCCTGCTCCCCTGGCCCGACAGAGGGATGGCGGAGGAGACCAGGTGGGCAGGACAGCGAGGTCGGAGCCCTGTGTACAGCGGAGCGGGCAGAGGCGAGAACTCAGCAGAGCAGCGGCGGGCGAGGCGCTGGCAGGGAGCGAGGCGGGGCTGGTGGAGCCAACTGCGCTGGATACTTCGGTACATGTGTGGAATTGGTCGAGACTCAGCCAGGACCCGGGGCCAGAAAGGTGACCATGCAGTGCCCTGTGTGAAGGGTGTCAGAAGAGGAGAGAGTGGGCAGGGCGCAATGCAGTGAGTGGGCGGTACCAGTCGGACTCAGCCTATCAGGGCAAGTTGCGCTGTAGGGCGGGGCAGAATCTGCCTGGGGAATGAGGCCAGTGGAGCCCAGGGGATCAGACTGGTTCATAGGGAAGCTGCCCACATTTCCTGAGTTGGAGCCCGGTGAAGTGGAGGGGAGTTGAGCAGGTGAGAAGGTGAGGTGGGCGGGGCCTCCTGGAGGCCTTGGGAGTGGGAGAGAGGTGACTGCTATGGAAATCCCCTCAGAAATCACCTTTGGACCCCACGCTTTGAGATGCAGGAGGAAAGCAGGCTTCTTGCTCTCCCCTGGCTGAGATATAATCTCAGACAGACTCCTTTCCACTAGGGCCTCAGTTTACCTGTTTATAAATGTAGAACGTAGAACGTGGAATGCTCCCCCTCCTTTCTTTCCATCCACTCATGGGTGGTGTGGACTCTCCTGGTATCCATGGATCGGATGCTGCGTCTTCCGCTGGGGTCCATCTGTTGGGTGCACTTACCCTGGGAGAGTCTGGGGAATGGCATTGCAGACACCTGTTTTTCCAGAAGGATAATTGTCCGTGGTTCCTTCACAGAGGTATCTCCTGTACCTGGGACGTCCGAGGGTAAGTGCTTGATGCAAATCCTCAGGCTATAGCCTGGTTAGGTCCCCAACGTTGCCTTATTTACACCCACATCCCACTGTCCTTGTGCCTGGGCAGTGGAAGAACATAAGTGGGAGATAGACTTGGTCATTTCCAGGGCAACATCACTCACCTCACTGTCGACATCTGGAAATGAGGAAAATAGCTCATGTGACTCCTGCTGGTGGGAAACCACCCCAACTTCATTATTTGCCAAAGGAAGGCTTCTTGATGGATGGGGCACAGGATCTGTATTTTGACAGTAGGCTCATTTAGTCTTTCACAGATAAATACTCTCCTTCTACTTTTACATAAAACACTTATGTACCAGGCACTGTTCTAAGCGGAGCAGATCACCAGGAATCCCCGGCTCTGTTCCGCTAGAAGGCTGCTGCTCTGGTGGTCTGACTCAAGAATGCAGGCAGTAGGCAGGCCTGGGGGACTGATGCCTTAGGCATCTGATGTGTTGACACCATCCATGGCTACACTTCCACGGCTGAATTGTTCCAAAGCACACCTCTGACCTTGTCACTCATCTTCCAAAACCCCTTTCCTGCGTATCACATAAGCAGGGGCTAGCCCCTGCCTGCTTCTCCAGTGCTATCTCCTCATTATCCCCCAGATTTTAGGAACATCTGGTTGCTCACCCCTCCCAGTGCATACCCTGCCCTCTGATCTGTGTGGTCCCCACCCCTTTTTAAAAGTACTGAGCTACATATTGGACACTAGAGGGCACCAGAATTGTGTGTATTTTCTTGTCTAATGACCACTGGAGTCTTGGCATACTGGTGTCTTGGTTACTTTTCTCTTGTTGCTGGGATAAAATACCTGATACCCAAAATCAAGGAAGGAAAGGTTTATTTAGCTCACAGTTTGTGGAGGTTTCAGTCCATACTTGGCTGGCTCCAAAGCATAGTGGCACATGGCAGAGGGCAACTGTTCATGGTGGAGGAAGACGGCAAAGCAACAAGAGCAAAAGGGAGAAGTGGTGGCAAGCAGCCTCTTTCTCTCCCTTACATATGCAAACTATCTGCCCCAGGGCGGTATAGCACTCACACCCAAGAATCAAAAACTCTAAAAGCCCGCCCCATGACTGCATGTGGCTTTCAGGGACATCTAGACACAAACCATAACAACTGGCTTGGTTATTTGCAATTTAGGGTAGCCCCTTAGCACTTGTTTTATAAGCAACCTGTATTTTTACTGCAGCTCCAAGCGAATTTTATATGTGCAGTTAATTTTTCAGCTTTGAACAGGAAAGGGAATACTATGACTTGTATTCTCCATTGTGTTTTACCTCATCGTTTCTGTGAAGAACAAAAGCCATGCTTTCATTCAGCAGCCACGTAAGGCTCTGAATTTACTCATGGTCTGGTCCTGTAGCTTCCTGAAATGGTACCAAGGTGGAGGGATTCCTTCCTCTCTGATATGTGCTGATTTTGATAAACCAAGAACCAATTAAATACAGGATTTTCCCCCCAAAATTTCCATTTCTTTTTAAGCAAGTACTATGTAAAATCAGATATTGTGCTATGCTTATTTTAAAGCAGAATTTCCTTTGTTTCAACTGTGTAAGAGTGCATACACTGCCCCCATTTTAGTAGTGATCAACAAAGTTTGTATTGCATACGAAATCAAAACAGTAGGTGTTACTTGGTCTTTGCTGGCATGGCACAAAAGGACATTTCATCCTTTATACATGACTTCTCTATAAATAGAATCTGTTATGGTAAGACAGTTACTACAAAGATAACAGTAGTGTTTATTTTACTTCCCAATGTAGACTTTATCTTGCTGGTCCTGTACTGCAATGTACATAATAAGTTATGCACATAAAGTTTCTGTTTTTTGACTTTAAGCAAAGATTGTCCCAGGGCAAATGGCTAGGAATATTAGTGAGTCTTCCCAGAATATTCTAGGAAGATTTGAAGGGAAGTTACTGGGCCTGAGGGTCCATTTTAGGATGGCTCCTTCAGGTTTTCTGGGGGGGGGGGGTTGGTTTTGTTTTTTTGTTTTTTGTTTTTTGTTTTTTTTTTTGGTTTTTTTCCAGTACCGGGAATTGAACTTGACCTTGCGCTTGTCAGGCAGGCTCTGTGCCACTGAGCTAAATCCCCAGCCCCCTCAGGTTTTGTTTTGTTCTGCATCTCAGTTTGTTTCTTCCTCTGTAAAATCATACTCATGATCTCTACTTAGTGGAATTGCGGCAATTCAGTGAGACCTAGTGTGTGAAAAGGCTTTGAGGGCTGTGCTGCTGGGGGTGGGACAGATGGGCTCCTGTTACACCATGTGGCACTTTGGGTGCTATAGAGGATGTGCCCATTTCTCCTGCAGGACCAGACCTGTGGCCGGGTACATGGCTTTGTGAGTTGAGCTCATTTGTATTTTAGTGCTATTGTGCTCCTGTCCATGTAGCCTAGGGCACAGTCTCCCCAACGGTTGTGTCAGTTGTGTGGGTAGAGGCCAAATTCATGTGAGGAGCCTGTTGACTCCCTCTCCCAGACATTTTCAGCTCCTAATTCCCTGGCTGTCAGTGGAGCCCAGCCCCTACCCACTGTCCTGTCCAAGTGCTTCTCTGGCAATCTCCTGAGTGAAGATGAATGCCCCCACCTCAGTGTGTCTGTGACTGATGTCTTTGGGCATCTCTTGTTCCTCCTCCCACACTGGGCCTCCCAGTTTCTCTCAAAAAAATGAGCTTGTGTGTTAATATACTGTGCAGCCTCTTTCCTGCTAACATGTGCAGATTCTAATGAAATCACTCAGGGCATAGGCCGTCACACACAGCACATGACTTGGTTTTAAAAGCTGCCAGCATCTCTGCTATGCTGACAGGTTGAAATCCTTCATTAGAAAAATGAGCTGCTTTCCACCTGCAGGAGGATGGACGTGGAGGCGAAGCCTGCTCAGGCCTGAGAGTGATTTCTGTCCTTTAAGGGATCATTCCTTAGGACTCCCTGGATCTCCACCCTGGCTATGGTTTGGAGTTCAGCATCCATCAAATATGTCACTTCTCTGCTGTGCAGTCACTTGAGCACCTTCCTCTACTCTCCGAAGGAGCTGTCTGGACCCAGCATCCCTTCCTGGCGAATCTAAGAAATGTTCCCAAAATGCACCCCCCCCATCTTTTTACCCTTGAAAGGCTGTAAGCATGGAAGCCAAGTCTGGTGAGCTAAAGTTTGGAGGAATGGATGCCCTTTCCAGTGAGGAGACTTCAAGGGGTCACCACCCCCTTCTGATGGTTAATTGTGTCACCTTAAATAAGAAATGCCTAGCAGATTAGATTAGCACAGTTTTGAGTTGATGGAGACCACTACAAAGCAGCCCTGAGCAGGATTTAAATTAATCCATGGGCTTTTCATGTTTACTTCTGAGTCTGTCCAAGCCCTGGATTCCTTGTCTGGAGTGGGCTATGGACTCATAGTAAGTGAACCTCCATGAGTCACTAATCCCTAC